CATCCGCTATTGCCACCTCCCACCCCCTCTGTAAGTGTTTTTGAAGCAGGGTCTCATTTAGCCCAGGCTGGCCTTGAACTACTGATCCTCCTATGAGCTGGGATGAAAGGCACGTGCAACCACACCCAGCAGTTGTTTTTCTGTTATTTTGAATTCATTTCGAACATAGAGAATGGTAGCTGCCAAATAGGATGAAGAATGACAATTTATCTTGCATTTAGCTTTTCCCTTCCTTCTATTCATTAGTACACACACACACACACACACACACACACACACACACACACACACACTTCTTTCCTTGAACCACTTTTTAAAAAGTATTACTTATTTTGTGTGTGTATGTGTGAGACTGAGTGTGTATGTGTACTGCATGTGTGTGGTGTGTGTTTGTGTACTGCATGTGTGTGATGTATGTTTGTGTACGGCATGTGTGTGGTGCCTGTGGAGGATGAGAGAGGCTATGAAACCCTCTGCATCTGGAGTTACATGTAGTTGTGAGCCCATGCCTGTTGCGGGTGCTGGGAACTGAACTCTGGTCCTCTGGAAGAGCAGCAGATACTAACTTTTGAGCCATCTCCCAGCCCTTTCCTGAACTGCCTGAAAGGGACTTGCTTCCATGAGTTTCTTTATCCCTGTGTGCTTCTGTGCAGATTCCCAAGAACAATAGTGTTTCCTCACATGCAGCACCACTGTCAAGTGAAGACATGAATCGTGGCGCAATACCTATTAGTTATGTTTCTGATTGCTTTAACAAGGGCTAGCAAGATGGCTTAGTGGGTAAAGGTGCGTGCTGCCAATCCTGAGGACCAGAGTTCGATCCCCAGGACCCAGATTGTAGGAGAAGAGGACTCCTCCTGCAAGCTGTCCTCTGACCTCTACACATGTGTAATGGCACCTATAATCCCTCCCCCCAATAAATAAATAAATAAATGAAATTAAACAATATCTGACAAAAGAACCTGAAGGAAGGAAGTTGATTGTAGCTCACAGTTCTAGACTTCAGTCCACCTTAAGGAAGGAAGGAAGTTGGTTGTAGCTCAGGGTTCCAGGGTTCAGTCCATCATGGCAGGGAAGTTACAGATGCCTGTGAGCTGCCTAATGTGGATACTAAGAACTGAACTTAGGTCCTGTGCAGTACCTGCTCTTCTTAGCCATTGGCCATTTCTCCAGACCCACTAGAGCTAAATTAGATTTCTCTAAATTGCAATTCAGTTTTCTCAATAGTATTTGTCACATTAATTTTTCCCACTTATTAGAAATAATAGCTTTATTACGTTACATTGTCCTTGGGGACATACTCATTCAATTGAACTGAAAATGCCATCTCTGGTCTCCCATTGTTTAAGTCTGATCACAGAGTTTTCATTCCTTCTACACATTTACAAAAAATGTCACCATACCATAATGAAATATTCAACATTCTATGAAATATTGATAATTTTCTTCATCATTATTCAACAGCTCTTAATGAAAACTCCTCATACAAATGTCTGTATTCTAAACCTGTTTCTCTGTGATCTTTCTTCAATGGGAGTTGGCTTTTCCTCCTCATTATCACCTGTGTCCCTCCTCTCTCTTCCTGTGAGTGCAGATATTTAACTGTCTGCTGTTTGCAAGGTAATTTGTCAGCAAATGCCAGCGCAGGGAATGGATAAGTGGGGGAAGATTTTGTTCCATGGTTGACCCCGGCTCCTCTTGTTGCTGGAAGACATGCTTCTGAACCTCCGGGGATCTGCTGCAAGACGGAATTCTCCACTGCTGGCTCAGTTTGGTGGCCCTTGAGTCACTCCAGGGTGGGCCTGATGAATCCTTTGATTCTTCCTCTCAGTCTCTGGAGAGTCTCATTTCCCTTTGACAACCCCTGGCTTGAAGTGCCGCCTTCTCCGCATACCGAGATTCGTAAGGACTTAAATGAGTTATGCTTTTGCAAGTTGAGTTGACCAAGTTTTGTGAATTTAAAAACTCATTTTTGGATTGATTTCTTTTATGGGTGTGTCTTGTCAGCTCATATGTCTCTGTATCACTTGTGTGCCTGGTGATGTCAGAAAAGGGCATTGGATGGCCTGCCTCTGGAGTTGCAGGAGGTTGTTAGCCGCTCTGTGGGCACTGGGAAGTGAACTCCAGTTCTCTGCAAGAACAAGTGCTCTCTACCACTGAGGCCCCTCTCCAGCTCCTTTATTTATTCATTTTCATTGATTTCTTTGTTTAGACAGGGTCTTAAAATGTGGCAGGCTAGCCTTAAACTTACCGACTTCTTGATCCTCCCGTCCACACCTCTGAAGTGTTAGAATTACAGGTGTGTACCACCATGGCCAGTTTTATGCGGTGCTGGGGATCTCATCCAGGGCTGCTGCTTCCATGCTTGGCATGGTACCAACTAAGCTACATCCCCAGCCATCTGAGCGCTTTTTGAGACAGTGTCTTTCTCCAAGCTAGCCTGAAGCAGACTGCGTAGCCCAGCCCCTGCGAATGTTCTCATGCCAAGAGAACGTTAAGCTCTCTCTTCTGTGTTGTCTTCATTTCTTGTGTTCACACCTCTTCCGTGATGCCACTGAAGGTCTCATCTGGCAGTTCTAGGCCTCTGTGTCTGCCCTCCTTGGAATTATCTGTCTCGTCATTTGGCCTATGGTCCCACGTGCCTTATGTCATCGTCTTCCTGTTTTCTCTAAGTGACTTCCCTTCAATAAATAAAGCTAGCCTCTATGCCATCCAGCTTTGCCTTTGTACAGCCCCCTCCCATCACAGCCCATTCATTACACCACAGTTTAAACTTTGTGTGCTGCTTAGGCTGGTCTTGTCACCTCCAAGAGCTCCTAGCATGCTTTCCCCCATTTATGCCTGCCATGTTTTCCTGACCCAGGTGTCCCCTGATTTCCTCAGGTCAAACACTGCCTCTCGGACATTGTTTCTGACCTCAGCCTCCTTGCAAAGTCCTGCCGACCTTTCTGAGTCCTCAGGACACTGATGGCACTCTTTGAGGGGCCCCTAGCTCCTTGAGGTTGGACCTTCTCTTTTATTAAGCTCCTCTCCCTCTTGGTGAGCATGCTGTTGGTTCCACAGCCACCCTTGTGTGCTGAAGAATGAATGGATCCAAATGTTTCCCAGGTACAAGTCGTTCCCTTTGAAAACCCAAGCAGTGTTGAGAGAGCTTGAGACTCTGCAGAACACAGATACCATGCTGACAGTATCTGTGATTTGATTTATCATATTAATCCTTTCTATCTAAATTGTATGTCACTTAAGGCCAGGGCCTCTCTAACTCCCACAGTAATGAATGTGATTAATAAATTGCTTGAGACTAACTTGTGCTTGTTGTAGCGTCTAAGCCTTTCTGTAGGGAATGGGTGTGCTAGACATGGTATTCCGGTTTCTCCCCGCTTAGGCACCGTACCACCAGGCCCACCTTTTTTTTTTTTTTTTTCTTTCTTTTTTCAGAGTTTCAGATTTATTTTAAAACAATTTTATTTTCTTAAACTACCTCACCCTTGGCTTGTCTCAAGCAAAAAGTCAAAAATAAAAATCCTAGAGGAAGGGGAGGGAATGTGACCTCCCTAGAAACCAGCCCTGGCGGCCCTTAACAAACACGAAAGGAAAGCACCAAAAACTTGTGCTTCAGCGGCAGGTTAGGACCTCCACGGAGAAAAGGGGGAGGGTTCGAACACAGTCCCCAGGGGCTGCTGCAGTTCCGGAAGCATCTCCACAACTGTGGCAGGCCGACTCTACTCGGAGAGAGGCCCTAAGAGGGGGGACTCCTTGCAGGAGGGCAGGTGGGGGTCAGAAAGCCCACACCCAGGCAGCCTCCAGGGCAGGCCAGGAAGGACAGGGACAGATCCAGAGCGCACAGGACAGCTGATGGGGGGGGGGGTGTCAGCATTGCCACACGGCCAGAATCCTAGCTCCTGGTTCCTCTGTTTGTTCAAGTGCGGATGAAGACAGACAGACTGCCACTGGATGGCCAGACAAAAGCAGCTGTAAACACTTGGGTGTGCTCACCCCTGTGTGCAGGCTCTTTTGTCAGGAGGGACAGAGGACCAGGGAAAGCCCTTGTGATGTTGGGTGGGTCTAGGGAAGAAGGCAATGTCAGCAGCCAACAGACCGGTGCTCGCCCTGGGCCCCGCCCCCAGACAAGGAAACACTGACAAGGTTCTGGAGTGGGGGCAGGAGGGCAGGGGAGGCCTCACTCATGGGCCCCAGGCCCCCGGCTCCACTGAGGTCCAACAGGAGGCAGGCCGCCCCAGCTCAGGGGAGCTGACCGGGACCCCTTTGTACACAGGGCAGCCACCATGGAGCAGCCTCTTCAGCCTGAACTCCACAATCCCCAAAAGATAAATAGTGTACAGTCCACCACCTGGAGTTCCTGGTCTCAAGACCAGAGAACAGAGTCCCCGTGCTCTATCCAACCCAGGGCCCATGCCAAGAGCGTTTTCCACCCAGTCAGGAGCTGGCAGCAGCAGAGCCAGGGTCTCTGGCCATGAGACCCACAGACAGCAGGCTCTCCCTGGGTCCCCCCTGAGGGTCTGACTCAGCCCTTTGGTCCACCATGTCCATTAAAATTAAAATAAGAAAAAAAAATAAAGGGCTCCACTTGGTGATTTGGGTCTGTCGAGGTCTCTGCTTCACCCCTCCGTCCATCATCCTGTCCATCCTGCGAGGCGTGGCGCAGGCCAGATTCGGGGGCTTGACCCAGCCACGCCCACCAATCACTGCAGCTTTGTCCTCAGCTTGCGGTGTCTGTTCCTGGCTTCTGCCCTGGTTACTGTGTACTCAAACCAGAGCACATTGGAAATGAGGCTCGTGCCCTGGATGAGGAAAAACTCGGAGATGGGCCAGGCTGCTATCCCGGGGAACAGTGGGGTGAGAACGTCCTGGGTGAAGATGAACCAAGTGGTGGCCATGAGGCTTCTAGCAATACCCCCATAGAGTACCTGGCTCCAGGTGTGGTACAGCAGGTAGACCCTGCTACAGGAGACTAGAAAGGCTGCGGTGAGGAGCCCTAGGGTGAGCACATGCCTCCACAGCAAGTCCAAGAACCTGGCGTTATTTGTTCGATGCATTCTTAAATATAGGAAAAGGAAGGAACAGACAGAGAAGAA